GTGTGTGTGTGTGTGTGTGTGTTTGTGTTACTATGAATGGACTCCGTATTTTTATTGTATTTTGTATATTGCATATGGGAGCAGTATTGATTTGCATAATTATTTTGTGACTCTGAATGCTTATTAGTTCTGATAATATGGTACTGTCAGTTCTTTTCACCTGAATACCACTAATGGCAGATGTCATTTTATTTATTTTTTTGAGACAGTGTCTTTTATTTTGGAAACTATTATGTTTGCTTATTCAGTAAAATTTATTTATCCTGCCTTTGTCATAACAAAGTCACCAATCATATGATTATAATCAAGATTTTTATATAATTTGTGTTCCTTTGACAGTCAAACCAAATTAGACAACCTTTCTTGAATCATTATATCCTTGGTTTTTCATGAATTTCAATTTATTATTGATATAATTCTGGAAACGATACTTGAATGAGAAACTAAACCATTGGTTTTATGTATTGTATACAAAAAAATAATGGGATGGCATGTGATAAATTATTGCTGTTGCAAAAGATAGTTACAAAAATGTTTTTATTCCATCCTATAAACTGCTATCCCTTATATCATGAAAATGTCTTTAAGCAGTCAGTATCTAGATCTGTATACCATTCTCAACTTTTAGAAGTTAGAGTTCCTTTATATTCTTAACAGTTATCAAAGACTCCAGGGAAGTTTTATTTATGTAAATTTTAATAATTAATATTTGCCCTATTAGAAATTCCAACTGATTATGTTTTAAAAAGTAACATATGGCAGATGTCATTTTAAATGATGTTGTTAACTTGAAAAAATTTTTAATTCTCTTATTTTAGTGATATCTACATTTAATTCCTTAATGTACCATTTATTATGACATACAGTTGGAGATGTAATGTTTTTTTTTTTTGTTTTTTTTTGGTACCGGGGATCGAACTCTGGACCTTGTGCTTGCAAGGCAGGTGGCTGAACCATTGAGCTAAATCCCCGGCGAGATGTAATTTTTTTTAGAAAACTGATACTCTAGGTTGATATGGCATACATATTTCCCAGTGTGTTCACCCTAATTTGAAGAATATAACTTTTCTGTTGCTCCCTTTGGTTTGGACAAATTGGTTTCTTTTGTTTTGTTTGGTTTTGTTTGTTTTTTATGTTCTGGCATCAAACCCAGGGCCACACCCATGCTAGGCAAGTGCTCCACCACTGAGCTAAATCCCTACCCCTAGACTGGCTTCTAATTGTCTTCTGATTGATCAATAAAAATTGTTTTATCTCTTTTAAATATTTGCATCTCATAAAATAACATTTTGTTGCACAACAGCAATGAGACAGATTCTTAATCTTTACACTATGCTTTATTTAATTGTATGCCTTCCATTCACTCTTAATTTAGTGATAACATTGGATAATAGCACGCTGATCCATATTTCCAAACAGTGACAGATCAGAAGCAAAAATCCAGTTGCTAATTTGCTGTGCTTACGCTATGTCAAACTCTGGTTTTTCAGTAGCAGAATTTTGGCATTTTTGTTCTGCTTATTCATTGCCTTGGCCCAAGGAAATGAGTTGGATAAGTGCCCCTCTTTTTTTTTCTTCAGAGATGCCATAGATTAATTTTAAAGACTCCCTTTCATCTACATAACAGAATGAGTTCAGATAGCCTTTTAAGCTATTATCTGCAGTTCAGAACTTTGTGCTGGAAAGTCATACCAGTTGTACAAAAGGGGTCTGTTAGGAACACTGAACAATGAGAGTTTGACATTCTTCTCCTTCTGCCTTCAGAAAAGAACCAAAGCCACTATTTTATTGCACTTATGTATTTTATAAAAGAACGCGAGGTTATATTTATATGCCAGCAAGCTTCATAGAAATGACAAAATGGCAAAACTTGTTCAAGGGGACACTCTTATGAATACTTCATTCCTGCTGAGTTGCTTGAAGGAAAATGGCAGCAGATTATTCTGTGTGTTCCACCAGGCACTCAAACTGCATTCCTGTTTAAAAATAAGGAGCAACGCCTCTCTAGGATGAAACTCAGCCTTTCTTTGGAGGGGTAGAACAGGGAGGAGGGAGACAACAGTAAATAATGTGCACACATTTCAAATTTTGACTGAAATTGGGCTGTGGACACAAACATTCTAAACTAACATTAAATTTAAAAAATTATATTGCCCTTTCACATAAGTGCTTCTTGGTTGTATTTGTTTTTTTTTTTTTTTCTGTTTCCTCTCTTGACTTCATTGATTTTGTGTGAGCTTGCACATTCTTTGAATATAAATTGCTTTAATTAAAAACCACCTGAGCCATAGCTCTCTCCTGGGCTCAGGAAATTTGCTTCTTAGTTTAGCTGGGTAAAGATTCAGTCTAAAGGATTTTACATCCTGCTAGCCCTTCCAAAGGAGCTGTGGGTTTCCCAGGACAGTTTCTTCTTTATACCCAACATGAAAACACATTAGTACTCTTTTTGGAACAAAGAAATATACACAGGAAATAAAGACATTGTTTTATCGAAGCCTCATCTTCTACTCTGACGTTAGCTGGCTGGGAATGAAAGTGTCTCCTTCCTAGAGGAAAGTAGCGCTTGAATCTGTTTTCTCTATACTTAAAATCCTGCTAAGATTGGTTGGAACTGTACGAAAGTAACGGGTCGTGTTCTCATTTTCTCCTCCCTGGAGCTCGTCCCAGTGTTCCCTGGTATATCCAGAGTGGATTTTGTGGGTACCATCATTCAGCAAGTGTGAATCGAATTCCATGCCAGGCGACCAGGCTTGTTCCTCGCCCTTTATCTGCACTGCATCTGACACAAGAGCAACCAGTCATTAAAACTGACTCTGCCCCATTTTAGGATGAGGAGGAGCCCTGCTCCCAGAACCGGTGCTGTTCAGACACACCTTACCCCCACCTTGCAGCCCATCTTTGTGTACATGGCCTCCACCTTTGGGCAACCAAGGCAGCTGAGCTGAGACCAGGCTAGAGCAGTCAGTCCACGTCATATGTGGCCTGACATATGTGGAGTTTTTGTTTTTTGTTTTTGTTTTTTTGGTACTGGGGATCGAACTCGGGACCTTGCACTTGTGAGGCAGGCTGCAGCACCACTGAACTAAATCCCCGGCCCCTGTGGTGTGTTTGTAGTGGCCCTCATTGTCGCTGGACCTATTTTCCACCCAAACCGCCCCTCTCTGTCCATAGACTCAACTGCAGGTTTGCAGTGACAGGGATCTTTCTGCATCCAGTGCTTCTGGAGATCTTTCTACTACCCCCTTTTAGGCTCTCTTCAGTTTTTTCTTCCTTCTAGATTCTCTTCTTGGAATCCAGTTCTGGCTTTCCACCTACCAATATGGATTCAGTGCAGCTCTTTCTTCATTTTTAGACTCAAACTCTAGCCTCCTTCTTGCTTCACCCATCTCAGGTCATCCCAGGAATCCCAGCACAGTCAGTCTTGGGACACCCACACAGGTGCCTCCTAACAACACAGACCAGGACACAACAGGATTGTGGGATGCCCAGGATTTCCAGAGTGTGCTCATGGTCTTTGAGTTTATTCTCCTTGTAATATCAAGAGTAAGTGAAGGCCAGTTGTAATACTTAATTACCTTGTACGCAAGGACATTTCAGGAACATCTAAACCAAAAGTTAACCAAAGTCATACGGCTTTAATTCATAGTAAACTAGCCGAGCACTTCAGAAGATATAGAGGGGTGTGTGATAATTTGTCATCTTAAAATAGTTAAAGAGATGTCAGTTTGCAAATATTTTCCACATTTCTTAGCCTCGCCTGTACATGCCAGGGACTGGACAGTGTGCCAGATAATGGAAATGACAACTCAGTTGGTTACCACAAGGAACTTTACAATGAAATACAGGAAATGAGACACACATACAAATGAAAGTGGTGCGCTAATTGATGCGTGTGCTGGGAACAGCAGGGACCTGCAGCAGACCAGAAGAGGTGCTGAGTGGAGGGGTGGGTCATTCCCCAAACATGTATCAGAGATCCTCTGTCCCAGACACTGGATTAGCAGTAGTTCCTGTGTTCAGGGAGCGCCTAAGTTACTAGGGAAGCCAGATGAGCAATCAAATGCAAACCAAACGATGTATGTGGGTGAAAAGGGGCACCGTGGGTATGGTGGACTCAGAGAAGAGCTTCAGCCCAAGTGATAACAAACTGCCTAGTCGGGCCCGACTCCTGCCGGATGCATGGCTGCATAAATGGCTGTACTGGCTGATTGCGAAAGGACCCTTTCCCTAGCCTGGTCTAGATGACTCGGGAGCTTCTTGGAGGAAGTGAGGCCTGTTTAGACACGTGGAGGACAAGTGGAAACTGACCAGGCAGAGGAATTTCAGACAGAGATAACTGCACAGGCAGATGCTTTGTGGTTGTGAGAGCCCAGAGCATGCCCCAGCGACTTGGCATTCCATCACCAAATAACCCCGGTGAACCCCAGGCTCACGGGGGTGGGGTATTAGAAGCGGGCTGTGTGGAATGAGACAACTGCCTGTTGAAACCAGCTAGAGGCCAGCAGGGGTGACATGTGAAGATAGTCAAGACTCAAAACGAAACACACACTCTGTCCCCTTCCCCTTGCCTGTATATATATAATACAGCATTGTGCATACATTATATATACTGTTGTTCATGACCAGAAGAGAACATACCTCCTGCATGAAGATCAATCGTGGACCTAAGGATGAAAAGAGAGTGAGTGGTAAATAAAAGCAGGCCAACAACAGAAGATAGGAAATAAAAAAATAGACTGTCTCAACAAAGGCCTGAAAAGAATCCTCAAAGACGTGGGGGGGGTGCTGATGAGGGTCTAACGAGAGATTTAAGTGAAGAAAGACTGAATGCGTAAACAAAAAGATAAGCAAAAGTAAGCAGTGCAGTATAATGGGGTGGTGGGCACCTGACGGGTCTGCTTGCTTCGAGCTCCCCCATTCCTTCATGAGGAGCCTCCTTTTTCTGTGAGGGCCCAGGCCATACAGTCAGGGATCTGACCCTTCTTCATCCCTCTGCCCAGGTGTGGGAAGATGACCCAGGCCTGACCCATCCTACCACTCCTTCCAGCCCAGGGGTATGTCCACAGCTGAGAACAAGGTATGGACTCCACGAGTGTTCCAGAACTTTCCCAGCAGAGTTAGGATGAAGACTCTCTTCCTTCCTCAGAGTTGCTGCGCAGGTGCATGTGAGTCCCAGATGCTGGAAACCTTCCTCTCTAGGGTGAGCTATTATGTTTTCTTGTGTTATTTCAGAACCTGAAGCTGTTTTTCATCCCTGTCATTTGAGATAATTCTTATGTTTCCCTTAGCTAATTTGAATTGGATTTTGTCATGACACCCCAAAAGGTTTTAATTCGATAAAACTTTCAGTCACTAAAACAATGGTTTCAAGTAACAGGTTGTACCCGGGTACTAAGGAGTTCCCTAAACGGGTAAACTCTGTAGGCTAAACTCTCACAAGCAGAAATATTGGAAGGCATAGCTAGCCAGCATTCATAGAAAGCACTTGGTTTTGGTTTTTTTAAAAAATGCGTGGTATAAAAAGTTCATGCCAACAAAAAGCACTATAATAAAATGTCCCAGAGAACTTTGTGGTATTGGGGGAGACAGAAGGCTGCAGAGCCTGTAAGAGAGGACATTGCAAAGCACAGGAGCAAAGCTCCAAAGGAGCTCACAGAGAGGCAAACAACTGAGAGAGAAAACAACCCTCCATATGGGGGGAGAATCGATTCAAAAGCACACTCACCTTCCACATTCTGTTTAAGTATACTTGTTATGGTAGAGACGATTTCTCTAAGCTTCAGGATGTTTCTACCCTTACTGGTGAAATAAAGGCCAGGCACAATGGTATACATCTGAAACCCCAACTACTCAGGAGGCTGAGGCAGAATGATCACAAGTTCACTGTCAGCCCAGACAGCCTGGTGAGAATCTTGTCTCAAAATTAAAAATGAAAAGGGCAGGGGATGTAGGTCAATGCTAGAGTACTTTCCTGGCATGTGGAGGCCATGAGTTCAATCCCCAGTGCTGAATGGAAAATAAAAAAGTGGAAGAAGGGCATTCTGTTCTGTTGAGAGCTGACTTATGCAGGCACCAACACTTAACCTGTGCTGATTCAGAAGGGACACGGATGCCTGTCATACTAGGCAGACACAGGGCCTCCTTCTGCTCTGAGACCATCTAGACGACAGTTGGGCAGTGATTCAAATACTGTCAGCTCAGTCAAATTGTAAGGGGAACAACAAAGATATCAGAAACTAATTCATATTTCAATGCAAAAAAAAAACCCAAAACAGAATAAACAACATTAAAATTTTAATGAAGACAGGACTGGATCTGATCCTGCCCTTACGTGACTCCTCCTCACTTGATGCCTCCTCATTTCTGTCTTGCTCTGTGCCACATAAAGTAGCTCTCTACACTCTGTAAGAGCTGTCATCTCCCGTCTGTCTTCCTGTCCATAAACAACCCTAAAATGGGTGTGACTCTCATGCCCATTATTTGACAACATCAGGGTAATATGAGGCCAGAAAATACAGCCTAATATCTATAGGAGGAGCAAGGGAGACCACAGAGACCCTCCCACGCCCACCCAACCGAGCCTTGCGGGGAGACCGAAGGCAGTGTGGGTGGCAGGACCCCATCCTTGCCGTGGAGGTGGGAGAAGAGGTGGCAGCGAGTGCAGTGACTGCCCTGCAAGGAGACTGCCATCACCCAGGTAATTAGGGACACCACCAGACCCTCCGGATCCCTGAGGGAATTAGCTAAATCCTCTCAGGACCTTTCAAGACCTCCGTAATGAAAGGCAGCTTATCCCGTCTGCTTCACCTTTCACTGTGCTTTGAAGGTTTGCCCCTGCTTCAAATGCATGGTGACATTTAATGTTGAACTGTACTGAGACTGGGCCTATGAGAGATGATTAGACCATGAGGGCTCTGCCTAGCGAGTGGATTAATGATGTCACTGTGGGAGTGGGTTCTTTATTACATGCTGTTATTGTGGGAGTGGGTTTTCTGTTCTGTCACGCTCTCATCCTCCTGTTGCCCTTCTACCATGCACTTAAGCATGTCGGGAAGCCCCTCAGCCTTGGACCTCCCTGCTTTCAGCACTGTGAGCCAGTACACTTCTGTTCATCAGCAGTCGCCCAATCTATGGTCTTCTGGAACAGCAGCACCAACAGTGGAGACATCCTCTTTTCAGCCCTTTTACTGAACCCCATTTTAGAGGACTTTTGGGACTCAGCAACAGTCATCCTACGGTCAAGCTTTGTACAAAGCAGAGAAAATGAGGCAGAACAAAAGGAGGCACCATGGGCCACCACACTCAGGTCCTGAAGAGAGACCGGGCAAAAAGACCTGGGGTCAGGCCTCATTCCACTCCTCAGCCAGCCATTCTTTTCATGTATATTTTGAAGCACTATTTCTTGCCCTGCTGTATCAAGCAACTGCTGAAGAATAAGGATCACAAAACAAAATGTGCTTCAGATAAAAGAAACTATTCTGTGTATTTAGCTAGAGATTTTTTTTTCACAAGTTATCTTTTAACTTGCTTTTGATTTAACAAGAGGATGAGGAAGATCTTGGCATTGACTATGATTCGTATTGAATGCCACTTCCTTATCTACATGAAAATTTAAAAAAATAACTAAAATTCCTGTGCTACAAACCACACCTGGTATATGTGTCCTCTCATTCAAAGGCACAGTTTTGTTTACAGGAACCGAGTTCAAAGAAAATGAAAGGGAATTTATGTATATACTTATTAAGATTCATTGATCAAATACTTATAGATTTATGATGAATATACAGGCTTTTTTTAATAGAGGGTCGTTTCATTTTATAAGACTTTGGAGTTTTATTTAGAACTGCTTTAACAATTAATTTGATTATACTGACAACAAACGTTGTCTGACTCTGAACATAGAGTCAATTGTATCCCCCTACAGATATCTCACTACCATGTAGTTGTATTTGTTTTGACTCTTCTGGAAAATCACCCAAAGTTTGGGATATAATCCATGTAAACCAATCATTCAGATAGCATTTAATTAACACCTACAATGTGCTAAGAACTTTGTGCTGTTAGTCACTGAGTGTATCGGAGTAAAAACAGCACAGTTCTTAGTCTTCAGATGATTACTGACTTAAGAGAAGTATCCAAATACAGATGCTCCTCAATTTATAATCGGGTAATGTCCTGGTAAACCCATTGTAAATTGAATTATCATTAAGTAAAAAATGCACTGAATACACTTAACATACTGGAAAGTTTAGCTTTGTTTATCCTAGCTTCTTAAGCTCAGGACACTTACAGTAGCCTACAGTTGGACAAAATCATTTAACATAAAGACATGTTATAATAAAGTATTAAATATTTCATGGAATTTGTTGATTGCTGCACTGGAAGTAAAAAACAGGATGGTTGAATGGGTATGTTTTTTATACCATCATAAAGATCATAAGTCGAATCATGGTAAAGGACCATCTGTAATTAAAATATTCACAATATGTGGCAACATGGAGGTATACACAATTATTGTGCGAGTATGGAGTATACAAACCATGGTTTCTGGATCCTTCACATTCTGGAAATGAAAAAATAGAAATCCACTTCATTATGACATTGAAGGGTATTTTAGGTTCTCAGCAGAAAGATCTGCAAGCAAATGAGGAAGAAACTGGGAAGTTGGCGAACTTATTAGGAAGCATGGATTGTCACATTCTTGAGAGCTGCCCCTCTTACCCTTGGAATGTGAGTCCTTTGGAGTCAGATGGTAAAATCAGTCATTGAGGCATTGGATTTCAGAGCCAGCTGGGAAGAGCTGGTCAGATTCCACCTCTGTGGAATGGCCTGGGAAGGGCAGCTCTCTGCACAGCCATCCCTTACTGTTCGACAGTTGCCCTTTGAGTGTGTGCAGTGAGCAGCTGGCCTACCCTACCCCCATGCCTTTCCCAGGTGTGCTGGGACAAACCGCCTCTGGGTTACACTGAGCCTGAGGGAGGAAGGAGAGGCAAACACACAGCAGAAATTCTCAAATGAGCTAGAAAAATGAATTCTTTATCTTACCAAGCTAAAGGCTATCCATTTAATATATGAAGCCTACACCTAGGAAGCAACCATTTCTTCCTAATTAACCTTTTATTTCTCCCAGATCCCCATGAAATAAGAGAATTGACATCCATGTAGATTCAAGTCCCTTGGAAATCTCTTCCTACCATTCTTGCCAATCACTGTAATTAGTTTTCCACATATGTTATTTGAAAGTTAGTGACCTTAGTTAATGAATAATTTACAGAGTTGTATGGAGTGAACCGTAGAAACCTAGCCATGAGAAATCTAAGGCCCAGACAATTTCACCAAATTATCTCAGGTCACACAGCAAGTTAATGGCAGAATAAAGGCTTAATGACCATAGCCAAGCTTCGGACAGAAAGCAGGTTATATATATGCCATAGCTCTCATCTGTGCAAACTACGTGAGGAAGAACAAGAGATGTTTACATTTGTGAAAGATTTTCTACCTCTCCAATTGAACTTTCAGGTACACTTTTTCTGGGCAAGCTGTGTGTCTGAGCACCAGATCATCCCCTTGTTGTGTGTAAGATTCTTTGAGGTTTGGAGAACTGCCCTGAGCTTCTACACCTACTCAGCAGGACTCATCAATGAGGAAGGTCCCCTGGATGCCACCCAGGATGCATCCTCCTGAGGGAAGGGCGGGGAAGCCACCCAGAGAGCTCCAGGAGGCTCTGCCAGCTCCAGTGTGCAACCGTTCCAGGCTCGGGGGTGGGGGTGGGGGAGTATCACTGGAATTTAGCAAGAAAGCCTTCGGACTAATTACTATTGGTCTGGGGCCGACAGCTGCTACAGTCTGATGAGGGAGTGTCATTTTTCCATCGGCAACTGCATTTCTGAGAAAAGGGCCTGAGCTTGAAAAAAATATATATTAGCCGCTATTTCTGTTTCAAGAGAAAAAGCTGTTAAACCTCGAGTGGCAAGAGAGCTCACGAACCCCTTGAACCCCACTTTGGGCACGTTCCATCCACTCTTGACTAAGAAGTGGGTCTGAACTATAAAACAAACATTTGATAAGTCCTCTCCCTCCTCTCTTCCAAAGCATATGCTGACACTGAGAATGCTGAAGCCAACCACCTGTGCAAGTGTTTGGCTACCCACTAATCACCTGTGCCTGGGAATGCCAGCAAATGCCTTTCTAGTGGCTGGT